GTTTTCAGATAGTTATGCAGCAATAGACAGAGTATGCCCTCTAAATGTTCCATCCTGGACATACTATCTAAAAGTTCTAAATTTCTGATGAGATTATTTAAGTAATACAAAAAAATTAGAAACACTTTCCTGTATGTCTGTCTCCAGAGAAAAAATATATTAGAGCTTAATTAAATTCATTTCCACAGATAATTAAGAGGATCTACTACCTGTAAGGCACCATGCCAGATAGTGTTTGTAAGACAAATACGAACTAGATTTGAGTCATGTTTTCAAGGAAATAGCATTCTAACAGAAATTATTAAAATATCTGAGAAAAGCATAAATATCAATAGATAATTACCAATTAAGGACAGAAATAGCTCCTAATCTTATACCACTAAATTCCAATCTAACATCACCATCAGTAGAGAAGTATCAAAGAGTAAACTTTTTCTTAAATCCAAGTGTGTGGTCACTGTTTTGATCTATATCCAAATTTTAATTATTATAAACACAAACTCTTACAGCATCAAAATCAAACCCAAGTTAGAACAATTAATGTTCATACATTCTACTATCACAAATTATATCTTTACCAATGGCTAACATTTCACAAACGTGTGCTTTTCCAATTGTTTCAAAAAACACACAAGAAATAGAATGTAAAATGTTTCAGTGGAAGCCATAGTCTCAACGCTATCCTCCAACTAATTGTCAGTGCACACATTATTGTCAACTAAGAACAGCATACATAGGTTTATACAAGTCCTTCACCCCATGCATGCCTCTGTCTTCCACCATCTAGAGAGTAATCCTTTCTGATTAAATAATAAAACAATAAAGACTATATCTGCCCTTTCAGATATGAAGATCAGAAATAGTAAAGTGGAAGAAGATTTGGCTCAATAGGAGGGAAAACCCTAAAGTGCTTTCACCTGTTAAATCCCAGAATTTGGTGTCCTAAAGATATATTGAAGTCCTGTAACCAGAATGTTGAAGGAGCAGATGGATGATGTGACACAGAAATGGGAAATAGATTTATAATTTTGATAGGATGTGGACCAAGCTGTTCTCTAAAATTTCTTTTCTAACATTCTATGAGTTATAGTAATATCTAAATTAAAGGATGACAATCATGCAATCTAAGTTACTTTTGCTTTGCAGTGATACACAGAGGGAATGTGATGCCCCTAAATATGCATTTACTTGGAAATGAACAAAACGAAAAATGGAGTTAACCTTTCTTGTTGTTTTCCTGAATCTAAGCCACAAATTACAATGTGTTTCAATAATTTAATCCAGTGAGCCCAAATAGAAATTCCAGAAACTAGGTATGATCATTAACTCAAATCAACAGAAAAATATTCCACAGGAAAACTCCACATAATTGCAAGTTTTGGTCCCAGGGTATTTCCAAAGAGCCCTAAATACCCAGAGCATCTAAGGACACTGCTCATGCCAGAGGAACTATATAGCCTAATATCCAATGGACAAAGAAGAATGGAAATGGCCTTGCTTTTCCTCTCTTCAGACCAAATTTTACTGAAAGTGGCTGAATTGCAAAGATCTGGACCTTCTGCTAAGTGGTAACCGTTCACACAGAGCTTTTTCACAGATTTAGAGAGGAAGTTCCTAGATATGCTCTGGTGAGTTTCCTTGGTCTCTACAAAGGGAGATTGTACTGAATAATGGAAGGTTAATGAATGAATTATAGGATTTAAATTAGTGAGATAAAACCAGGCAGTGTCATTTAACTCATAAATGCTGAAATTAAAAGGTTATCAACTATGGGTTTTTTAAAAATAAAAATTAGGATTCCATGAAAGAGAGTTTTAAACTCTTTATGTTTCAGAAACATTTTGTGTAGCGTAATTCCCATCTCCTCAGCAATTCCTTCCTTTTTGCAAGGAAAGAACATCAAAGAAGAAATTTGGGGTAAATGGACCATGGGCACCATTTGATATTCCTTCTATTCTTATTTTCATAGACCCTAAGAGCTGCTTCTAAGAGATGTGAGATCCTTCCCATATCAGAAATCAGAGATAAATTGTTCAAACAGTGTAGAAAAATGAAAAAATATGAGGATATATCAAAATATTATAATGTCATCAAAATAGCCATATTCATCAATTTCACAAAGTAAGAATCAATAAAGACTTCATAGAGTAAAGACATAAAGATTGTGTAAAGCATGTAAGAACATGCTCCCTGTCACAATCAGTCATTCAGGTTTCTTGTCTCTTATTTCTTAGGGAGAAATCTTGACGTAAATGAAATGCAAGAAAGATCAGTAATAGTAAAGCTTGTGGTCCATATTTTGAGGAAATACAAAAAATATTTTATAACTAGAAATAAATGGTAAAAAAATCATTAAATTCTTCACATGAGATTTCTCATTATGTTTTTAAAAAAAACCACTAATATCCACTTAAAAACACGAGGCATAGGAATTTGAATGTCCCCTTTGTTAAAAGACAATGACTAAGTTGTAGATAAAAAATACTCAGTGAGATTAAAGAAGTAAAACAATGTAAACTTCTGGGTCAAAATTCAAAGTAGAAAGCTACAGGAGATTTGTTATTTCATTAAGGAAGAAAAGTGGCCTTTTTTTTTCCTTCTTCCTGAAGAAAGTGAGGTTAGATATTCTAAACTTTACTCTTTGAATGCACTGATAACTTGTCAGAAAGAGAAAAATATTTTGGTATGGTGTCTAATTATCAACCAATGACACATTCGAATTCCCTTCTTTTATTTTTCTGCTTCTAAGCAAGGTATCAAAGATTGATGTGGTAATCCGTGAATTAAATAAAAATTAAGTAGATATTTATATCACATAACACAACATTATTTTCAAGTAGGTAAATGATAAAGATGTATCTATTCAAGAGAGAAAATAGGAACATACAGAAAGATATAACAAAGAAAATAAAAACTGCACATAATTCCACTATATTACTACTGTATTAATTAATGTCAGTAGTGCTATGAATTAATGGAAAGACTAATACAGACATTTTGAGGTAAATCGAGAGTATTTCCATATTCATGGAATGAAGTCCACTCTGTTGGGTTACATGACAGAAAAATCAGCAACATTTTCCAGAAAACATAGAAATGGAAGTTTCCAGAGTCCCCAAAAGCCTCACCCAGTCAGTTAATAGTTGTAAAAGAATATGTCTAGCTGAGTAAATGTGGGATTAAAATCTCTAGAAGCATAAAGTATCATCTTCAATATCTGTGATTAAGGCATGCACACACACACACATACATACACACACTATAAAGGTGAATAAGTTTTCACATACACTAGACTAGATGTATGCTGGGAATTATCTCTTGAGAGCCTGGTGTCCTCCATCAGTCTCAGACTTAAACAATTTATATTATTGAATAGCGCATTAGAAAACACAGAAGTATCCATCACTCTCAGCTATGTAATCTATTTCAGGCACATCTCTGAACTTTGTGTGGAGGAACAAAAATGGGGTCAGTTTCCTATGTGTCTCTGGGAGTCAGGATGATAAAACTTCAGGGCATCTAGAAATAAATACTCTTCTCATGTGTTATATTTCCTTAGATTCTTTATTCTTTGCTTCTTTCAATGTATTTACATGCAGTGTATATATCATACTTTTATTTAAACTAAAATAGTGATCATTATCCCATTTCATGGAAAATCCTTCCTAACTATAATTTTCAAAGCCATCTACAATATAATTATGTAAATAATTAATTCAATAATCCTCAATTTGAACATAAGATTTGTCAATGTTTTTGCTACTGGATTAATTCTAAATAAACATAATGTTTTTTTAAATATTCATTATTCAGAAGATTTGATTAAGATATTTAACATAAAATTAATGATTTAAAGTACAGACTATTTTAAGTTTCTTGTTGAATAAGTTGTTGTTTTCCAGATAGTATTCACAAATTTGACCATCCTGGCTTCATGTTTAAGATTTTCTCGTATTTCACACTCAGCATCTCTGAGTATTGTATTGTTTTGGTTTGGTTTTTTTTTTTTGAGGAAACTGGCCCTGAGCTAACCTCTTGAGCTCATCTTCCTCTACTTTATATGTGGGACACCTGCCAAAGCATGGCTTGACAAGCAGTGCAGAGGTCCACACCCAGGATCCCAACTGGCCAACCCCGGGGCCATGGAAGCAGAACGTGAGAATTTAACTGCTGTGCCACTGGGTCAGCCCCTGAGTTTTGTATTTTTTAATCACTGCTAATGTGGTTGGTACAGAAATTATATTTCATTGTTGCTTTAATTTGTACTTAATTAAGAATAAGGATAATTTTTAGGCATTTATTAACCATTTTATTTCCTTTTAAAAAACATACCAGGAAAGTTCCAGCCTTTTGACATATCGTAATGGGGACTTTGTATTTTTCAGGTCAATTTATATATTATTTTGTGTTAAGGGTAATGATCATTTGTATATCATCATACAAACAAGATACTATCAATTAAAAAAAATGTATTTTTACTATTATTTATTTTTCCAAGGAATTCTTAGGGAAAAAATTGTGAATTTGTTCTCTCATGAATGAAACAAAATTACAAAATTGCAAGACAACAACCACTGTGGTGGTGGTACAAATAGACATAATAACTAATGGAAAAGAGTAGGTACCTCAAAAATTTCTTTATATATATGTGTGTGTGTGTGTGAACTGAGTGAAAATTTTAATACATATAAAATTTTAATGCATTATATTTTCTATTTGTAAAATAATATATTTTTTTGTTTCCTTTGATAGAAATGGATGGCATTAAAATTTATAATCTACCTAGTCTTCCTTGTGAGTGAGTGAAAGTTAAAGTTGCTCCACATAATTATTAGTATATAAAGCTACATTACATTTATAATAATGAACTGGTGATCCTGTCTTCATGCCTTAACTTCACTGAATAAGTGTATTAAATTGTCAAATAATAAAAAGTTTTATTTCTATGGATTTCTATCTTGTACTGCAGCTGGGATCCCTCTTGGAAACTGAGAAGGTTCATGGCTAATTTTACTACAATGAATGGATTTCTTCTCATGGGGTTTTCTGCCAAGCCTGAGCTAGAAATCTTATGTGCTTCTCTGTTCTTAGTCTCATACTTAGTGGCTTTAACTGGAAATATTCTCATTATCACTGCAACTTCTATGGACGACAGTCTTTACTCACCTATGTATTTTTTCCTGAAACATCTCTCCTTCTTAGATCTATGCTATATTTCTGTGACTGTACCAAGGTACATTTGCAACTCTTTCATGCACAATGGCAATATTTCCCTCTGGGAATGCATATTACAGTGTTTTGCTTTCACTCTCTGTGGTTGTGCTGAGATGGTCATGCTCACAGTGATGTCCTATGACCGCTATGTGGCCATCTGCCTCCCACTGCACTATGAAATCATCATGAATTTTAATACCTGTATTCATGGAATCTTGGCTGTCTGGATCAGTGGGGTCATCTCTGGAGTCATGCACACAGCTGCTACTTTCTCCATCCACTTCTGTGGTACCAAAATTATTCACCAGTTCTTCTGTGATGTCCCCCAGATCCTGAAACTCTCTTGTTCTAACGAGTATGTCAGTGAGCTTGGGGTTATTGTCTTTCTGTCGTTGGTGGCATTTCTTTGCTTCATCTGCATTGGGCTCTCTTACATGCACATATTCTCTACTGTGCTGCAGATCCCATCTGCTGAAGGCAGAGCCAAGGCCTTTTCCACTTGCATGCCACACCTGTCTGTTGTCATATTGTTTATCTCCACTGGTGTCTTTGCATTTCTAAAGCCACATTCTGACTCTCCAACTGCATTAGACTTTTTGCTCAGTGTTTTTTATACTGTTCTGCCTCCAACACTCAACCCTATGATCTACAGCCTCAGAAACAAAGCTATGAAGACAGCTCTAAGAAAAGTTTTTAAAAGAAGAAAAGCCTACTTCTTTTGCTGAGTCACATCTGTTCATTCTTTATCAGGAGACAAATCAAAATATACTGGAGAAACATAACAAAGCCAATCAAGAAATTAAAGCTCAAAAAGGAGCTATTATAGGGAAAGTCATAGGAATGAGCTATCTCTGAGCAAAAAAAACATTGACATAGAGTTATATAAAAATTCCTCTTGTAAATACATTAGATTTTAATCTCTCTCCACAATGCCAAGTATAGCAAAAGTGTAAATTGACTTAATTCTGAAGACTCTAACTTAATTTTCCTTGCTGGCTCATTTTTATCAAGGTGAAAGAAAACTTCTCATTTTTTCCTGAGTTACTATCAAGTTTTGGATATTACATATCATCCAAGGATTTAAGAGAACCACCTGGATTTCAATGTTCTCTAGCTCTTTAGGTGTCTACTAATGTTCTACTAATCTTTCAAGGTTTCAATTGGTAATACACAATGGTCACCATGAGAAAGTCTTATTATATCATTTGTGCTGCATCTTTGCCACTCATGAGTGGGATGTTTAAAAGATGCAACAATCAGACAGTGACTCAGAAAATGAATAAAAGAAGAAATGCAAACACAATTAAAACAATATTTTTAAAAAGTACATTTGAAAAATAAGCAAAAAACATTATGTAAATATAATATATAATGACTGAAATTTAAACTTACTGGATGATATAAGCAGCAGATAAAACACAAGAAAAGACAGAATTAATGAACGTCCAGATAGGTGCAAGAATTTCCCACGGAATGAGAAAAAAGAAATAATTTTTTAAAATATGAAAAAGAGATTAGGAATCACAAAGGATAGAAAAGGATGCTTTAATATTTGTCTAATAACAGTACCAGAGAGATCTGCTGGCCATGCATTGAAGGAAATCATTACAGGCAATATGCAGAGAAATAACTTTTAAGGTTTTTTTTCCAGAATTAATAAAGACACAGATATTCAGGTATGAGAAGCACAAAAAAATTAGTCAGTATAAGTAAAATGAACACACATGTGGTTATATCATCCCCAAACTATAGAATAATGAAAACAGAAATTTTTGAAAATTAAAACAGAACAACTGATTTAAAAATAATACCAATAGTTTATCCTAGAAACTTTATTGTTTCCCCTTCTATGTTTAGTTCTATAATACATTGGAAAATAATTTTAGTGATAGAAAGAGGTAAATGTCATTGTTCATGTTACTCACCGATATCCAATTGACTAGCATCATTAGTTGGAAATCAACTTTTCCCCCAAAGAACTGCAGTTGGTGCCTCTGTAATAAATCTGGTAACTATATATGTACGGGAGTCTCCCATTTGTTCAACTGATCTATGTATTCACGCTTATTCTATCAAGCTCTATTAATTGCTGTAGCTATATAGTAGTTTTTTATATTGAGTAGTGTAAGTTTTGAAACACAGTTCCTTCACATTTCCTGTTCTACTCTAGGTCTTTTGCGTATCTATTTAAGTTTTAGAATAAGGTTTTCATTTTTTAAAAAATCCCTACTAAGATGCTGATGAAAATACATTGAATCCATAGAACAAATAACACAAAATTGTCTTCTTTAAAAGATTGCATCTTCTAATTCATGAACAGGATACTTCCTGCTCTTTAAAAATTTTGTCCAAAGTGATGTATAATTTTGAGTGTAGAGGTTTTGATCATATTTCATTAGATTTATTTTTATGTATTTGATGTTATTATAAATTGTAATTTTTAACTTTAATTGTCTAATTTTGTGGTCAGTTTTTAGAGATACAATTGATTTTTGTATATTGACCTTATATTCAGTGACCTTCCATATTTACTTACAAATTCTAATAGATCTTTATAGATTCTTTTGAATTTCTATTTCATATTGTTTTCTGTGAATAAAGAGTTTTATTCCTTACTTTCAAATTTTAAAACTTGTATTTATTTTCCTTGTTTTTGTGCTGGCTAAGAACTATAGGCCAACGTGAATATGAGTGGTGATTATGGTGGATAATATTATCTTATTCCAACTTAAGAGACACACATTCAACATGTCAAAGAGTTTACTGAAAAGGTTTTCAGTGTCGAGGCATCTCCAATGGGCTTAGGAATGTGTCCAAAAGAGAAAGTTGGCTTTAAATATCTGATATGGTCAGAGGAAAAATGCCAAAGAAAATCATTCTGCTAGTTAAATATGACCATTCTCACCTGTCACATTCTCTGCCTATTAGCTTCAACTCTGACAGAATCAGAGGCAACCTAGAAAGTGTGGGAAATGGCACAGAAGTGTGAGGTTGGTAAATACAGAAAAAGTGACAATGAGCCCTGCACCCTCTGAAGATTTCCATTCTGGAATAAGCCTAGGTTGGTTAAGGAGAAAAGCTTAACTTTGCATAATATTCAGTGTTTTTGACTATTACACTGAGTTTAATATATTAATTATTAACATGATACTATTCTTGTGGCTAACAGTGATTGCAGGATTTCTATTAAACATGAGTGAGAAGGTTAACCATAGGGTCCCAGGAGCACCATAAATATTAATACCACACAATATTTTTAAATTCACCAGTGCACTGTCAAAAATAATATAGAAATCAGAGAGTGGAAGTTAACAACCATATATGATACCAATAAAGTCAGACCGTCTCAGAAGCTGTACTGAAAGATCAGAGAAAGGGACAGTAAAAGAGAGCCTAACTAACGTCAAAGTCATCCCTGGTTGTCAAAAAGACTTGGCATACAACAAAGAGTATGAAGGATAATGAGAGAGAGAACTTGTGAGTTATTTAAACCTGACTGAATGCAGGGCAAATTCATAAACTCTCTGAATAGGATAACAGTTTCCAAGCTTCCAAAATATTCAACAAAAATATGAGAAAACCTTTCTTGTTTAATAGGCTTAAACACAACTTCTGACCAATCAGTGACTGAGCGTTAAACTGTGCTGACCTAAGTGGGGAAATCCTAGAAAGACAAACTTAAAGATAAAAGGGAGGCCAAAAATTATGAGGGATGTTAGAGTCTTTGCTCTATTTACACTGTGTGGTAAATAGACCACTAAACTAGTCTGGCCAAGTCAGTAAGCAAATAAACAAGCAAAAAAAACAAACAACAAGAAGACCCAGGGTGAGGGGAGAGGATCAGTCTTCAGAGAAACTACAATATGGCTCTAGAATCTGATTTTCAGCAAAAAATATTGAGACATGCAAAGAAAAGGAAAGTATGACCCATATACAGGAAAAACAAGCAAAAGAAAGTGTCTATGAGTGGCCCTAGTTGTTGAACTTAAACAGACTATACCTTCAAAATATTTACTATAAATATATTCAAAGAACTAACATAAACATGTTTATAAAATTAAAAATGGTATGATGACAATGTCTCATCAAATAGAGAATGTTGACAGGCAGACACAAATTATAGAAAAGAACTAAATGAAGATTCTTAAGTGGAAAAACACCATAGACAAAATGAAAAATTCATGAGAGATGCTCAACAGTAGATTTGAGTGGGCAGAAGAAAGAATCAGCAAACTTAAAGATAGGTTGATAGAGGTAAGGCAATCTGTATATACAGCAGAGAAGAAAAAAACTGAAAAAATGATCAGCCTCAGAAAACTGTGGGACAAGATGAAACACATATATATATAATAAGAGCAGCAGAAGGAGAGGAGGAAGAGAAAGGGAAAGAAAAAATATTTAAATAAATAATACCTCAAAACATCTAAAATGTGATTTAAAAAATTCATCTACACATCTGAGATCATCAAAAAATTCCAAGTAGAATGAATACAAAGAAATACAAACCCAGATATGTGATAGTAAAAACGTTTAAAGACAAAAAGAAAATCTTGACAGTAGAAACAGGAAAATTACTCATTTTATGCAAGAGAAATTAAAAAAATTAAGAGCTGACTTCGCAGAAATAATGAATACCATAAAGCGGTGGAATGAGATTCAAATTACTAAAATAAAAACCTGTCAAACTAAGAATCTTATGCGCAGCAAAATGTTTAAAAAATTAAAGTGAAGAGGACTTCATCAAATGGATGGATGGGAGACTTTAGCTTTTATATCTCCATAGAAACATCATATTTGACAACCACTCATGTATGAAAATATCTTTGTGGGAACAGGAGAGCCCAAAAGAGAAATTCTAGCAACTTGGTGGAGAAAAAATTGGAGAATAAAGCTCATTAGTTTAATGTAGTCCCACTCGTTTACTATAGCAGTTTATCAGGGACATTGGGCTATAATTTTATTTTCTTATAGTGTCCTGCCGGGCTTTGGTATCAGCGTTATGCTGGTCTCACAAATGAGTCTTGAAGTGTTCCTTCTCCTTCAATTCTTTGGAATTTTGAGAAGGATTTGTATTAATTATCTTTAAATGTTCAGTAGAATTCACTTTTGAAGTCATCTGATCCTAGGCTTTTATTTGTTAGGAGATTTTTAAATTACTGATTCAATCTCATTTTCAGTATTGATCTGTTCAATTTTTCTATTACTTCAAGATTCAATCTTGGTAAGTTGTTGTTCTTAGGTATTTATCCATTTCTTCTAATGTATCTAATTTGTTGGCATATAAATGTTCATAGTAGTCTCTCATGATCCTTTTATTTCTGTGGAATCAGTTGTAAAGTCTCTTCTTTCATTTATAATTTCATTAGTTTTAGTCATCTCTCTCTTTTTTTTTAGTTAGTCTAGCTAAATATTTGTTAATTTGTTTACCTTTTCAAAAAACTGAGTTTTGTTGATCTTTTCTATTGCCTTCCAGCCTCTATTTTATTTATGACTGCTCTAATTTTAATTATTTCCTTTCTTCTGCTAACTCTGAGCTTAGTTTGTTCTTCCTTTTCCAATTCCCTGAGTTGTAAGGTAAGGTTGTTTATTGGAGTCTTTTTTTCCTTAATGTGGGTGTTTATTGCTATAATCTTCATACTTAGAACTGCTTTTCCTGAATCCCATAAGTTTTGATATTCTGTGCTTTCATTTTTATTCGTCTCAAGATATTTTTTATTTCCTTTTG